GCCGGGCTGGTCAGAACTAGCTTCAAGTTCACCGCACCTTTCTTTGGTCACCTCTGTTCTGCTATTGGGTTTGTTTAGTGATTTTTTTGAGGTTTCTGGTATTATATTTTTCAGTTTGGAAATTTCCATTTTGTTCTTTTAATAGTTTCTACTCCTCAGCTGAGTTCTATCTTCCCATTTGTTTCAGGTGTGTTTAACTTACCTTATGTGACATGGTTACAATAACTGCTTTAAAGTTTTGTCTGATAATTCCATCCGTGTCCTGGGTCATTTCAGAGTTGGCATCTGTTGTCTTTTGCCCTGGAAATTGGTCACAATTTTCATGATTCCTTGTATATTGAGTAATTTGTGATTGTAAATTAGACATTTTGACTGCTATGTTATGTAGACCCTGTTATAATCCTCAGGAGAACGTTGATTTTTCTGTTTTAGCAGCTTATCAATCTGGCTAGTTCAGATCACAAGGTCCGCTTGCCTTCTGTGGCCAGTGCTTTTGGTCAAATTCAATTTCAAAGTCTCTCTGTGCTGCTGTGGATTGAACAGGAAATGAAAAAGAAATGGGTTTAGTTTTGCAGGAAAAACTCTTCATATGAACTTTCTTTTTCCTGTTGGTAAAATTTTGGGGGTGGACGTGGAGTAGAAACATCTAGACATTTAAGGGGAAGATATCCATTTCTATTCAAAATTGTACTAGACATTTTAGGGCAATTAGGCAAGGAAATGAATGAAAAGCATCCAGGTTAGGAGGAAGTAAAACCTTCTCTATTGTACACGGTATTGCCTTGTATATAGAAAATCTTAAGGATTCCACTAAAAACCTACGAGAGCCAGGTTGCAGGATACAAGCTCAATATACAAAAAGTAACTGTATTTCTGTACACTTGCAATGAATAATCTGAAATTGAAATAAAAAAAACCCTTCCATTTACAAAAGCATCAAAAGAAACATAAAGCTTACACTCTGAAAGCCACAAAACTTTGTTGAAAGAAATTAAACACATGAAAACACACCTGTGTTCCCAGGTCTTTAGGCCTAATATTACTCAGATGGCATTATTCTCTAAATGGACCTACAGATCCAGTATAATCCCTATCAAAATTTCATCTGGTTTCTTTTCAGAAACTAACTAGCTGAACCTAAAATTCCTATGGAAAGTCAAGGGACTGAGAATAGCCAAAACGATCTTGAAAAAGATGAACGACGTTAAAGGATTTATATTTGCTGAGTTAAAAACTTACTACAAAGCTACAGTGAGAATATAAGGATAGACGTACAGACAAATGGGATAGAACTGAGAGTCCAGAAATAAATTCTCATATTTATGGCTAGCTGATTTTTGACAGAGAGGCTAAGGATTCAATGGGGAAATAACTGTCTTTTTAACAAATGATACTGGGACACTTGGATATCCATATGCAAAAGAATGAAGTTGGATCACCAATCTAACCGCAATACAAAAATTAACTGAAATGGAACAAAGTCCTAAGTGTAAGAACTAAAACTATAAAAATCTTAATAGAAAACATAGAAATAAATCTTTATATCCCTGGATTAGGTTCTGGTTTCTCAGACATGACACCAAAAGCCCAAGTAACAGAAGAAAAAAAAATGGATAAACTGGACCATCATGATTAATAATGCTTGTGTATCAAAGGATACTATCAAAAAGTGAAGACAACCCACAGAATGGGGGGAAATTTTTGCAAATTTTATGTCTGATAAGGGTCTCGTATCTAGAATATATAAAGAACTCCTAAAACTCAGTAAGACAAATAACCTAGTTAAAAAATAGGCAAAAGATCAAAATGCTTTCTCAAAAGAAGATACATATAAATGGCCAACAGGCACACAAAAGGATGCTCAACATCATTAGGATAAAGGGCAAACAAAACTACCATGAGATCCCACTTCTCTCCTACCAAGGTGGCTAGAATCAAGCTAGAGAACGGCCGGTATTGACTAGGATGTGGACTTCACACACTGCTGGGGGGAATGTAAATGGTGCAGCTCCTGTGGAAAACAGTCTGGCAATTTCTCAAGTGACTAAGCATGGGGTCACCGTGTGACCTGTGCTCCCACTCCTAGGCGTGCACCCAGGAGAAACGATGTGTACACAAAGCTTGCATAGGAATGTTCGCAGGAGCATTACGTATAATAGCTGAAAAGTGGGCACAACTCGAATGTCCATCAGGTGATAAGACACATAAAATGTGTTCTTTTTCTCTACAATGGAATATTACCCAGCCATAAAAAGGTCTGTGTGATGGTTGCACAACTGTGGAAATTGATGAACTGTACACTTTATATGGGTGAACTGTATGGTACAGGGTTAGGAATTCTACCTCAGTGAAGCTTTTCAAAGCACGAAGGGAAACCAGCCCTCCTCAGGGGGTGCAGACGCCATCGGGGGCCTGTGCCCGCGGCTTCCCAGTTTGCTCTTCCTCTGTGCCCTCACCCTCGAGTTCACTTCAGAGCGTCTGCCTCCTAAGCCAGCCTCATTCACCCAAAGCCGGACCAGAGATCGTGCCCTTTAACTGCCTCCCCAGGGCCGGCCCGCTCCTCCCTCAGCTGTAGGTAGAAAAGAACATTCCTTCCAAGTTCCCTGGCTCCTCGGGGGCAAACAAGATCACAGGTAGAGAGGGGTGCCTTGGAGGGCACCACGGTCCCCAGCATCAGATGTGGTCCTCAGTGGGGGCAGGCACCACAGATGAGGTGGGGTCATTGAGGAGAGCTCGTTGGCGGGGAGGAACCCAGATCACGAGGAAGATCTAGGGTATCCCCATTTGCTCAGAGATCCCAAACCCAGGGCTGGAAGGGTGCTGAGGGTCACTGAAAGGGCAAGGGACATGCCAACGTCGCTGTCCTTGGCCGAGGGTACAGGTGTCCACCGGGGAGGCCCCAGGCTGCTTGGGCCCACAGCACGGCTACCCCGGGCCAGGCCCGGCCCCACCTGCCAGCCAGCTGCCCCCACACCCGTGCAGAGGATGGGTTCCCCCTGCCTCCCTGGGGCACAGCCAGGGACCCAGCCCCTGGCCTCTTTCGGGAAAGGCAGATGGCACAGCGGGAAGCCCCGCTGTCGTGGCGATGTCCCCACATTCTCCCTGAGGGTGGGGGGACTCGCCGGAAGCCCCCACGGTGTGGCGGTGGGCACAGATGCCTTCCCAAGGTGGGCTGGGCTCCAGGACGTTGCTCCCCCCCCCACTACCACCCCAAGGCCTGGCGCAAGGACCAGGACGACCCCCCCCATCCCAGGTGGTGCTGCACCCCTGTTCCCTGCCTCCCCACCTCCCCACTGCCCATGGCCGGGACAAACGTGCCCCCAGCCAGATGAGTCCCAGTGGCTGGGCCTTTCCCCCATGGCCCCAGCCTGGCCTGTCTAGGCCAGCTTCCCAGGAAGGCCCTCTGGTCAGGCAGCCCTGTGGCTCCCCATTCACGCCTCCCACCCACCCTGTATGGCTTCCGGCTGCTCCAGCTGCCCCCGTGCTCACTGATCTCGGGCGGGATGCCAGCTCCGTCCCCACCAGTGTTTGCTGTGGGCTCTTTGTGGTGGTGACAAGTCCTCACGGCCCCAGGACTGGAAGGAAGTCGGGTCAGGGTTGGGTGGCTGTTGTAGGACTAGGATTCATCCTGGCAGGAGGGGCTCACCCCCGCCGCTGCACAGACACAGACACAGACACAGACACACCCTCGCTCTCCCCTGGGGCCCGTGAGCCAGGCGACCTCCACTGCGTGAGTCCGGCTGTCAGCTCAAGGTCACGCTGGTTTCCAGGGCAGAGACTCCCCAGGCCCATGGGAGGAACATGCGGACTGGTGTGACCTGACTTCCCGGACAGTGAGGACCAGGGGCCCCAGCCCCGTGCCCCAGTGGAGGGCCAGGAAGCCTATGCTCCCCAGGGATGGTCTCCATGTCCCCGTCCCAGGGTTCAGGGTCCCCAAGAGCTCACCAGGCTGAGTGGCACCCGCCACACAGCCACAGCCATGATACTGTCAGTTGGTGGGCCGCCAAGGGCAGGCTGCACAGACGGCTCCCAACTCCCAGTTCTGGAGCGACAGAGGAGTCCCACGCTGGTGGGATCTGGAGAGGCTGTGGCCAGGTGTGCACCCCCAAGGAAGGCTGTCGGGGGGAACGTGTGGGGGGAGGCCCTCCACACCCTTCCCTGGTCAGGGACCCAGGGGCGGAGGGACAGGGTTGCTGACAGGCATCCTGATCCTCCTAGTTGATCAAACTGCCCTTAGGGCCACCTCATGTCCTGGGGACAGATGGCGGCTTGTTACCAAAAGCAAGTGACACCAGGTGGGCTAGGCCCAGCAGGCTGACTGGCGCTGGCACTGCCAGTTTCCTGCAGAACCCCTGAAATCCTGGCAGAGCACCCCCTCCTGGCTGAGGACTGCACTGCAGCCGGTGAGGGTGCTCACACACAGCATGAGGCCCTGCAAGCCCAGCTTGCCCCCAGACCCCCATCCAGCACCGGGGCTGTATCCCACCCCCACCCTCAGCCCACTGCGCCCTCCAGGCAGAGGGTGTGGAGCCCCCCTTAGGTGGGACGCCCTGCCTCTCTTACTTCCACCATCTGACTTCCACCGGGGCATCAGGGCTGTAAACCAGCCCCACCCCAGAGGCGCCAGACCACACACCTCCCTCTCCACGAGGGGCCTGAGGCCAGCCACCAGCCACAGGAGTCACACAGAACCAGGTGAACAGGGACGGCCGCTGGCATCCCCTCTAAGGGGCTGGGGCAGTGCGCCACCTTGTACCGCTGTGGGCCAGTGCCTGGAGGTGGCCGCCAGGGCCCAGGGCCCACTCAGCGCTGGAGCCCCAGCCCGACTGCCCACCCAGGCAGGGCGAGGCCTCCAGTGCTCCTGCGTCCCCAGCCTAGGGTCTGCCCGTGCAGGTGCCCTCGAGTGGGTGCCCATGAGGGCTAAGGGGCGTGTCTCAGGGATGCCAGAGGGGAGCGGCCACACTAGACCCGCCCTGGCGCCCCCACAGACCCACGAGGCAGAGGAATGGCGTTGACTTTAATATATGGCCGACAGCCTGGAGGCCAGGAGGGCCCCTGTGCTCCTGCTGGGAGTGAGGTCCCAGCGAGACTAAGTCCAGAAGGAACCGTGCACCACAGATGCCATGCCCAGCCTCTGCAGCCTCTGCCTTGTGCTGGCGGCTCAGAGCTGGCAGGCCAGGGGAGTCCTGAGTCTCTGACAGCTCAAGCCCAGCTGGAGAGTGTCCCACGGCTGAACGGGGCCTGCTGGCTGTCCCGGAAGCCCCTCCTCAGCAGGGCCGAGCCTCCCTGTATGGGACCCACAAGTGATGAGGGGTGGTCAGGGCTCCTGTAGTCGTCAACCCAGGAGGATGCGCCCCTCCTGGCCCACCACTCCCAGAAGCGAACACAGCAGCAGAGGTTGCCACCCCTGAATGTACGTGGAAACTGGGCACGTCAGGAGGCCAGGCCAAGCCGGGCCCTTTAACCGAAGCCCCTGCCAGCTGACGGGAGCAGAAGTGTACGAGGGAAGCGAGGGGACCCTGGGCCTGAAGTGCCACAGGAGAGGAAGCTGAGCTGAAGGTGGCCCGTGCAGCCCTGCCGGTCCGGGCTGGGAGTGTGGCTGGCACCAGGCCCACAGGGCCTGGCTGCAGCCCTGTGGGAGCACAGCTTCAGAAGCTGTTTGGCTGAAGGGTCTGAATGCTGCCTTCTGGTCCAGAAATGAGAGCATGGCAGTGCCCGGGAAATGCTCTGAGTTGTCCCGACAGCAGACCCCACGCGCGGTGCTGTTCCACAGGCACCTGGGCTGGCACAGGCCACTTGGGAGCCCGGGCAGGGCTGGCCACACCCACGCTCTCTGTGGCTGGTCCCTGGGGAGCCCTGGCCCGTCCCATGCGAGGGGGTAGGGTTACGAGGCTGCTACTGGGTCCGCCTGTCTGGGCCTGGCCTTGACGGGGACTTTGTCTGTGGAAGAAACAAAGACAGGTTTGCTGAGAGCAGAAGAGCCACCAGAGGATGGCAGGGGTGGCGAGGAGCCGGTCTCAGGCTCCGTGTGTGGGGAGGGCCCCGCGCAGCGCCGGCCGAGGCCAGTGACACCCGAAAGCCAGGTGGGGCTGCCAAATGGGGCGCACCTGGGCCCCACGCTCGGGTGGACGAGGCCTCAGGAGGGAGGCAATGTGGGGATGGGGCAGATGGAACAGGAGGGGGTTATAGGGGACGGTCCGGGTGGCAGTGGGGCACTTCTGAGGGCAGGGGTCAGGGGATGCCAGGGGACAGCCGTCCCAGGGCTGGGATGCTTACAGGACAGCGGGTCCTGGGTGGGAGCTGGCTGGCCTTTTCCCGGCTCTGACTGTGGGCACGCCTCTCACGAGGTAACTCACCCCTCCCACTTACCCCCCCAAAAGCCAGGCCCACCCCCAGGGCGAGGCCCCGCGCTCTGCCTGAGCTGGTGCCCGGAAGCTTGCAAACTGCCTTGGGAAGGTGGGAGCCAGCCTCTGCCGAGCAGAGAGGGCAGGACCCCACGGCCCCGGCGCCTGCTCTGTGCTAGGACCCGCTGCTGCCCAAGGACAGAATGCGGGGGTACCTGGCTTCTTCTCCGGAAGGGGCTCTGAAGGGACGTCCGGCAGCTGTACTTGCTCCTGTAAAAACGGAGGGCGGGGGCAGTGAGGTGCAGCCCCGAGGCCCTCTTGGCCTCCCTGGAGGGAGGGGGGACACTCAGCAGGATTTTAGATGAACAAGAGCCTTCCTGTGTGATGCCCCGAGGGCATCCTCCTGCTGCCAGCATCTCTGAGACTCAAGCCACCTAAGGGGCCCAGTGGCCACGATCCGTGGTTTCCCTGGAGGCCCCGGCTCAGAGTCTGGGCCACACGAGGGCAGCGCCCAGGTCCTTCTGGCATCCAGGTCCAGAAGCCCCTGTGGCGCCTCTGCGACGGCCTCCTGCAGTGGCCCCTTGGGGGGGCCGAGGCGGGTCTGGCCGTCCCAGCGAGTGCAGCCGCCTCCTGGGCTACGCACGGCGCCTTAGCTCCCCACTGCCCTTCCCTGACAGCACACAGGCGCTTGGCCCTCGGGAGGAAGCGGGTCAGCAGACAGCTGCGTGGGAGCTGCCGAAGAGCGGTGGGCAGCAGCACTCGGTGCCCGCTCCTCCTGGCCCAGCCTGCAGCCGGGGGGCCCAGCAGGAATGTGGCAGTGGCCCAGAGACAGGGACAGCCTCGGCCAGGGAGCAAACAGACACAGGACTGGACGTGACAGCCCAGCAGGACCATGTGTGCAAGCCTGTGCACCACGGAGGGTGGCAGCCACGACGGGGAAGGAGCACCTGTCTGATCTAAAAACCGCACACTGTGCTCGGGGAGGCTGGAGCCGAGGGGCTGGGAGGGCCGGCATTCCACAGGCGCAGGCCGCCCGCCCGCCCGCCTGCAGTGCTCCTGGGTGGGCTGCACGCTCACAGCCCTTTCCAGGCCATGTCAGCCCACTGGGCATGGAAAACAGTCAGTTTAGCACAAACGACCATCACTTCAGGGAGACCCGCAGCAAACCAGGCCTGTGCCCAGGTGAGACCCCGGCCATGCCCTCGCCACGGCCTGGGAGCTCAACGGTGGGCCTCGGGGGGCCGGCGGAGCGACTGCTCGGTCTTGGAGGTCCTGCTGCTACCTGCATGGCTGGGCTCAGCGCCGGGGGGCCGTTACCTGGGCGATTGTGTTCAGCTCCTCCAGGATGGCGTCCTCATCCTCCTGGGTGAGGCTTCCTGCCAACAGCTCGTCTATTTGCTGCGGAAGGAAGAGCTGAGGTGGAGAGCGCGGCTGGGCTGGGCAGGGAGAGGCGGCCCCGAGGGGAAGGAGGGAGACATGGTGCCTTGGACCCTCGGGGGTGGCTGGCGGCCACCCGCTGGCTGGGGGACGGTGCGGGCACCTACCCGCTGGTACTCCACGGCCTCCTGGGTCTCGTCCAGTATCCGCTCCACTTCCTCCAGGGACATCACCTGACCAGGTAAAAGCATTTGGGCCTCGTCAGGGAGGCAGATAATAGAGGCACCCGGGCAGGCCTCGCCCCCGTTCCTGCTGAGGCGAAGCCGGGCCAAGCGGGAACGACACCTCTCTGATGGCTGTGCCCCAGGCAGGGCCCGTCCCCTGCACTCCTTGGCTCCTGCTGGCCCTTGTCACCACACCGCCTGGCACCCAAAACAACCTGAGCAGTTTCAGGTAAAAATAAATAAAAAGTATAAAACTTCCTCTGGACAGGCAACTTGATTTTTTGGGGTTTTCTTGACTGGCAGATATACTGCCACATGGGACACTCAGGGATGCAGTGTGGGCCACTCACTGGGAGTGACAGAGTGACCCTGTGCATGGCTCACCTCCCCTTTCATTGTCCACCTCCGTGCTCCTGTGATCGTTGCATCCTGAAATAGGCTGTGTTCGCCTCTACCAGGAAGCCCTCCCAACCAGTTCACCACATCGTCCCCCACCCTAACCAGACTCTGTCATCACGTTAGCACCTGTGGACCCAACTTATAGTGTGTTCCCATCACCCCACTTTCAGGTCAACTTCCCTGTGTCTGTCCTGCTAGACTGTCACCCTTCCCCAGAAGTGACCGGCTTCCCATGCTCCTGTCCAGCACAAACACCTGCTGGGCGACAGGCTGGACGCAGGCACGGCCTCAGGAACAAGCCTTCCTGCCCCACTGGCCTCGCGGCCCCAGGCCCATGAGCACCTACCTGGTGCATCTTATTCAGACACTCGTTTCCCAGCTGCAGTCCCTCCATCACCTTCATTTCAATCTGGGTGAACTCGATACTCTGGACCTGGGGTGGACCAACGAGACTGCAATGGTCAGGGCCCACCGCACCCACCGCCAGGATCCGGGGCCGGTGCTCTGGGTCCCGGGCTGTCCTGTGCCCTCCCTCCTCCCACCCTGCCCCACTGCCCTCACCACTACTGGGACCTGACAAGCGGCGGGAGGGAACTTGGCACGGCCAACAGCTCAGGAGCGGCTCTGGTCAGCAAGATGGCAGGAGCAGACGTGGGCCCGGACGCCAGGCATGCTCTGGAAGCCTGCCATGACTGCTGGCACCCCTCGGGCACCGAGCAGACCCTGCCTGCCCTCAGCCCCCAGCAGCCCAGCTCCCCGGCCACGATCCTGCAAGAGCCAAGGGCTGGCAGCCCCTAAGGCTGGCAGGTTCCCGTCAGATTCTCCTGTATCGTCCGGCGTGGCCCACTCCTCAGCCCGCAGCTGAGAGTCAAGGAAGGAAGCCGATTCTCTCAGCACTCTGGGGGGCTCCTACGCTGCTAAGCCGCCCGGCCTCCCCCCACACTGCCCACCATGGCCTCCAGGCTGGTGATCTGGTTTTCTGTCTTGTCCAGAAGCTGCTCCCGGTACCGCTTTTTCTTGAGCAGCAGTTTGGCCCGTCTGCAGAGGGAACCCGAGTGGTGACGCAGCAGCACGCCCGCTGGCTGGCCCGGCCCACCCCGGCCCCCGCCTGGCCTGCCTGGGCCACTCACTCCTTCCTGCCCTCCCGCAGGAGCTGCCGGGCGATCTCCCGCTCCCGCTCCAGCTGCTGGGAGACCCTCCTCTGGTACTGCTTCAGCTTGTCCCGCTGCTGCTTCAGGTGCTGCGAGAGAGGCGGCTGCGGGTCAGCAGCGAGCCGACGCAGTGCGGGCCCCTCGCCAGCCCGGCCGGCATGCCAGCCCAGCCCGTCTGGAGGCGATGGGCTCATCAGAGGCCCCCTCGCCAGCCAGGCTGCCAACTGCTGCCCGTGGACGCACACCCTTGAAACTGAGTTCTCAGTGCGAATGAGATTGACCCCAGGGCACGTGGAGCAAAATGTGGGGAGGCGTCACTGGCTGTCACAACTGGGGGTGCCATGGCATCCGGTGGGCCCAGGGATGCTGCGCATTCCCTGCAATGCCAACGACGCCCACCAGAGCGGGCCTGCCCATGTCTGTGAGGAGTGGGTGCCCTGGGGGAGGGTCAGGGGTTGAAGCCCCTGCCTCCGAGGTTCAGGGAGAACAGGCTGCTGGTGACAGTCACCCCAGAGTGGCTCGGGTCTGGGGCCTTCCCTCCCGGCCATGGCCTCTATGGGCTTCAGCCATGTTCTTCATGTGTTTAGCTCCCTTGCTCCGGTCATTACCGTGGTGTCCAAGCGGGCACCAGGTGCACATGTGAGTGGCGCGGCTGCACGTGGCGAGAGCCCCGGGCCTTGTGTGCTGCCCCAGGAAGTGTGTGTGCCATTCACATGCCTCAGTCGACCCTTGCTTAAGCCATTCATGTTTCTTCCCAATTTCACCATTTCAGATGATGCAGTGGGAACGGGGCAGGCACAGGGCACTCCTCACCTGTAGGATCCTGTCTTTAGGGCCAATTACTGCGCGAGCTGCGTCAAGGGGTGCACATTCGAAAGACCCAGCACAGCACGGCACCACCCCCTGGTGCAGCTGTGGTCGGCGCTGTTTGAGGGCCCCCACACCACGCTGGGCGGGGTCTGCCCCAGCACAGCAAATGGCCTGTGGGTTAGCCTTGGTGACAGCTGTGTGTCCTCTCCTTGGGACAATGGGTGGCACCCACTCTCGCAGCTCCATGGCCCAGGGACCCTGGGGCTGGCCCATGTGCTGGGTCTTCCCAGCTCTGGCTGCCACCGGGCCGTGGCCCCCTCCCTGGCAATGATCCTGGCCGGCTGGGTACAGAGCATAGAGAGGGGCCAGCAGAAGGCAGGTCGGGCCGGGCTGCCCTCTGCGGGGGCGGAGGTGACAGGACCGCACACTGGGGCTTAGGGGTTCTCGGACCAAGCTTTTCATCCTAGCAAAGCACCAGCAATAAGTTGTTCTAAACCATGTCATTCCTGTTCTGACCCCACCAAAGGGAATCCTCTGCAGGGAGAAAGACCAAGCCGAGGAGAACCCCAAAGCCGAGCTCCTGGAGAGAGGCGAGAATCACCCCGGGGCTTCCCGCGGGGCCAGAGGCGCTGTCAGCCCCGGGCTGGGGGCGGGCGGGGCCCTGCCGTCCTTCGCATCCACCAACGGCCTCCCTCCCCAGGGCTGAGCCCCGTCTTCCCGCGGGTCCGCAACCAGGGCCGGGCTCCCCAGCGACGGGCGCGCCTGGTGCTCCTCATCCGGGGACCTTCAGTCAGGAGCCTTTCGTAACCTGCGGCCGCAGGAGCCGAAGTGAAAAACCGCAGAACACCCGCCATTTGAATTCGTTTCTCAGGACAGAAGCAACATGCTCTTGTTGCGGAAAAGCAGGAAGGGGGGCTTCGGCGGCGTAAGCCCTGCTCTGGTCGAGGGCGCCTTCTCCTCCCCACGCGCACGGAGTTCTCTCACGTGCCATCTCTCAGGGCGCTTCCGCCGAAGCTAACGTTCCTGCCGGGGTCCCCGGAAAAGACACTCGAACGTACAGGTAGGAACATCATCAGAAACCCGCCCAGCAACGGCGGGCCGGGGGGGGCGCAGCGCCCAGCGCCCGGGGGGCCCCGCCCGCTCACAGGCCACGGGGTTCCGGGGACCAGGGCCTCGGCCGCTCCAAGCCCCCGGCTCTGGGGGCGGGGACAGGGCCTCGTCGCGCGGCCGTCCCGTCCCCGGGCCTCCGGCCGGAGGCAGCCGCACAGACGGGCCGCCTCCCGGGCGGAGCAGGACGCGGGCGGCGCGGGGCTGGGGCTCGCCGCCGGGCCAGGAGGGGCCGCCTCCGAGGCCGGAGTCCCGGGGTCACCTCCGCGCCGGGAGCCCGCGGCCCGCGGGGGCCGAACGAGCCGGGTTCGCGGAGCGCCGCCCGCCCGCCCGTGGCCGGGCTCCGACCGGCTGTGCCCGCGCCCCGCCGCCGCTCACCAGGATGGCCTTGTCCTGCTCCGTGACCCGGCTCTGCTTCTTGCGGCCGAACAGGTTGCCCATGGCGCCCGGCCCACCGCCGCCCCGGCAGCGGCCCCAGCCTCACGCCCTCGCGGCCGCCGTAGTCCGGACCCGCCCCGCTACGGCGGCCGCACGGAGCCAGGCGCCGCAGAACGCGATCCGCGCGGCGAGGGCAGGTTCGAATCCGCTGCCCCCAAGGCCTATGCGACGGTAGCACGAATACACTGACGGTGGGGCCTGCAATGTTCCAAACGACATATTTCACGTGCATTCCCAGAATGTCCCCACATGTGCAGATGAAGACTAAAATTCCAATCTCCTATTTAGGAGGGATCCTTGCAAGTTAGCTGGGTGGACAGCCTCCTCAGGTCAGAGATCTTGGTCCGGTCAGCCCTCTGCTCCCTCCAGTGCTGACCGCAAAATGCTGCAGTTAATGATGTTATGCACGACCTTTTGGGCTTAAAAGTGTCTGCTGAAATGCTACCATGACGTCTTCTTCCCACTGCCTTCCTGGGCTCCCCTGGCCTGCCAGTCAGTGCCCGGATTTGCCCAGCGTGGCCCCTGCAGAAGCACGAGGCTCCCGTGGGGTAAGAAACATTCCCGGGGCACTGGGGTTACAGGATAGCCCTGGCTCTCACCTGCACGTCCTGGCTGGGGGTCTCTGGTGGTGGTGTCTGCCACATCTCACACGATAGCTCCCAGCCTGTCGGCCACCCCAGCTGATCCCAAGTCTGCAGTGGCTCCCAGGCTGTGGGTACGGGGTGAATGCCACCCTGTGGGCTGCCCCTTCCTTGGTCAGAAGCAGTGTTGTGGGGACACCAGCCTGTAGATGCGCTGTGGGCAGGAAGGCAGATCCATGTCTAGAGCAAGTGTCTATTCCCCTGGGGACATGTCACTGCCCTATGATGGGGGTCCCAATTCACCAGGCTGCAATTCGGGTGCCATTTGGGGGGTTCAGTGCTGTTGACCAGAAGTCACAGTGGCCAGGTAGCCTTGGTGAAAGGAAGCCCATGTGTGGTTTCTGTCCCTGAGGCCACAGACACCACATGTGGGCCTGCTGAGCAGGCAGTAGGGGCCAGGCAAGCCGTCACCTCCACTGTGCTGGCTCACTCGGCTCTGGGCCACCAGCCCTCTTGCTGTTGTTCAGGGCAGGCACTATTCTGGGGCGGCTGACTGTGTATTTCATTCTGGACATGTTGATTAGCCAGAGACCCCTGCGGGTGTCCTCTGTGCAGCAGGGTGACCTAGCTGCCTGCCCGTTAGGTCCACACTTGGCTGAAGAGGGTGTGGCTTCCCTCGGACTTTGCGCCTGGATTGAAGGTGGGTTCCAGAAGTGTGATGAGAATTGGCCTGCAAGAGAGCCCACCAGTTGGCCAGGAAACCCACGACGGGATCCACGGAGGCCACAGGAACTGCCCCCAGGGCCTGGGAAGCTTGCTGGGGCGTGGGACAGACAGGAGGTCTGCAGGGAGCAGCCCGCAGTGGCGGCCATGTCACTGAAACGTCTCCTGCAAGCTGGTGGACCGGCGGCTGCGCTGAAGACGACAAAAGCAAAGCAAGCTGGAGCCAGAAAAGGAAGCCCCTTCCTCTGCTGGGCTATGCCTGCGGTGCCCACATTGCCCTGATGAAACCACCACTGAGCGAGCTGGCAGCTGGGAAACACCTGAAGGGTCTGGCTCGCCACCAGCAGCTGGCCAGAGGCGCGGATCCCTCAGGCAGCAGTGGTGCTCTGGGACTTCCCAGACCCCATCAGAAGAGGTGAGAGGCTCCCTTTTGGAACTCAGCTGCCAAGTCAGAGGCACCCTGGACAGGCCTGTGTGCAGGGGAACTGCCAGTCAGCACCACTTGCCAGCCATGTGAGCACATGGTCCTGGAAAGCGAGGTCTGGTCCCCACTGGTGGGCACCCCCGCTGCCGTCACTCGGCAGCGAAGCCTTCCCGCCAGCTCAGCTGTGGATCTGTAAGCTGGGTGAAGGGTGGCTCTCATGCCTGGAAGCCTGAGGGTGTTTGCTCGGTGACTGGAACACATGCAGTGGTTGGGCACTGAAGGAGGGTGGCTCAGCCTCGGGTGGAGGGCGGGCATGCCTCTGTCAGGTGCCTCACATCATACCTCTGCTGCCAGATCTGGGGCTTTTCTTAAGGGCCAACCCAAGCTTTCCGAGACCATCACTTCCATTCCTGGGGCATGCAACCCGCTGGCTGATGCCAGAGGCCCTCCAGCTCTGCCCATTGGGGTTCTGCTCATGTGTGCTGCCCTTTTCACAATCTCAGCCCCCATCTCTGGGCTTTGCCCTCTGGGGCTTGCAGGAGAAATCGGGGGATCCACCTTTGACCGCACTTTTGATACCATTGCTCCGGGCCTGCAGACCTCAGAGAGCTTCTCAAGGACCCAGGGTCCTCGCCCAGGGGCCCTTAGACTCCCTGCCAAGGGGCTGCTTCAGGGCGCAGGAGCCTCAGGGAGCAGACTGCGCCTGGATTCCGGTTGTGTGCTTAGCTCCCTAAGCCCTCGGGGGCTTCCCTCTGTATTAGGCCAAGGAAATTCCTGGCAGCTCAGGGGGGCTGCGCCTCGCCCATCTCCAGCACGAAGGAGCAAACTGCTGAGGCGATTGTCAGATGAAACCGAACAGCGGGGCCCAGAGCGCCGGGTCCAGCCACCCAGAGCGGCCGCCTCGCTCGGCTTCCACTCTGAGTGGGCCACGGGGTGTGGCAGAGCTCCGCTCACCTGGAGTCAGCTGGGCTCTCGCTGGTTATGGGCCTGGGGCAGGGATGGGTCACGGGTGGCGTCATGGGGAGATGGGGCTCCCCTTAGCAGGTCCCTGCTGCGGGTGTGGGCTCCACGGGAGGAGAGTCGCCTCTGCTGGCAGGCAAGGCCGAGTGGGATTACCGAGGGGGCCGAGGGCAGTCCTGCCAACCCCCCCACAGATGGATGCCCTGACCTGGTGGGGCTGAGAAGTCAATTTACGCTGTAACCCTACAACCGCATGATAAAACTTGGGGTATGATTTGCAGATACAACAGTCCTGCTGCAGGAAATGAGATTTTCCTTTATCGGCATCCTGTGTGTTTTCTGACTCTACCCTGCACTGCGAATCCCAAGCCCCTGGCTTGTCATTTTATTTACTTATTTATTTATATTTCGGTATCATTAATATACAGTCACATGAGGAACACTGTGGTTACTGGATTCCCCCCATTATCAAGTCCCCCCCACATACCCCATTACAGTCACTGTCCATCAGCGTGGTAAGATGTATAGAGTCACTACTTGTCTGCTCTGTGCTGTACTGCCTTCCCTGTGCCCCTCCCCCCACATTATGTCTGCTAATCGTAATGTCCCTTTCCCCGCCTTATCCCTCCCTTCCCTCCCATCCTCCCCAGTCCC